TGATTGCATCTGGATTTGTGTGTGTTTGTGTGTGTGTGTGTGTGTGTGTGTGTGTGTGTGTGAGAGAGAGTATACATCGGTGGAGGGAAGGGAATGCTGATTTTCAAAATAAGCTTTGTAGGATTATTTTTATTTCCTCAAGTATGTACTCTTATAATTTTGATAAAAACAAAACCTCAAAATTAAAAGAAAATAATCCTTTTGTGACAGATTATTTTGAAGCATTGAAGTCTATCATTCTCTTATCCAGTGCCTGCATCTGCATCTTTCATGTGTACAGAGGTATGCAGACAGACACACACACATACACACATTCTTCAATAGGAAAATAAATGAGTTTGAGCAGTAATTTAATCTATAGGTTTTTAATTTTGCTGAGATCAAGTTATATCTTGTCTTAAGTCGATATTGTGATTTTATGTTTTCATACAGTGGAACTGTGTTTTTAATTTCATCCTTTATCCACAAAAGCATTTAGCTTAAGGGTCACTAAAAATTAGAAAAAATACATAATCCAATTTAAATGTTACATGACTTTTGGGGAGGATGCATATGCAATTTGATAGTTTTTCAGTCCAGTTTACTATTTAACACTTTCAACAGTTAAAAGCTTAGAAATCTATTTCTTAATGTTTGGACTGTGGCTCTTCTAGTGTTCTAAAATTGATTATAAAATTAAAATAAATTATATATATTTATAGTTTTCTGGAGTGCTGCACATTGCTTAAGATTTTGAATTGTTCAACATTTACTAGGTAGTTTAAAGGGAGATTTACCTAGTGTATAGAAGTGTAATTCAATCCGACAATAAGAAGAACATAAAGAACCCTGCAGAGACAGCACACCCTGTGAGATTTTGCTCACTAAATTTGTGCCAGTGAGGCAGATTACCTGGTTTCCCAGCATTTCAGGTGTCCTCCACTATATTTATAGCTACTTGTAAGTTATCTGTCTTTGTGTGTGTGTAGATGTAAATTGCCAGTGGGTGCTCTCTTGGTTGACCTATGCAGCAGGAAAATGTGAAATCAGCAATAAAGGACTTGATTTATTTCTAGTTGTAACCCTTCCTTTCCTACGTTGCACCAGGTTTGGGTACAATCAAAACTGCTTGTGGACAATTACAATTGTATTTGGCATCCTTGACTAGACTTGTTTGTTTACACTAAGTCACTCAACCCTCTCCTTTCCTTGTGGGCCACTCACATGTCTTCTGTGTCAGTGTATAGCATTACTTGAGTTTAAAATGAGTTCATATTATATATAAAAAAAGGAAAGAATACAATAGTAACCTAAAAAATAATATAAATACTATTAAAATATGTGTAAAAGTATTGATTTCTATTAATATAACAAGTAAAAAATGAAAAAAACAAACCAGAAGAGGAAAAATAGAAATGAGACAAAATATAACTGGTTGTTGATGACTAACAATGAGAAATTCCAGGAGAAATAAGATGAAACAAAGTTTTGTTTTGTTTTGAGAAAGATATAAAAGGGTAGTATTTGGACATGAACTATATCGTTTTTCAATTTACTCCTTGACACCTGTGTGCTGGTATCACCGCAGAAATAGATTATCATGGGAATGAGTTGCTTGCTCTGATTTGTCAAGGTAAATGAAACATCCATGAAAATAAAACATGTTACAGTATTTTTATACTTCTATAATTCTGTTATGGGAACAGATTATTTGCAAAAGATTCTATGACGGGAGATGGAATTGGCAGTGACATGGCCATTGTCTTAGTCTGTTCAGGCTGCTATAACAATATACCACAGGCTGGGTGGTTTATAAGTAACAGAAATTTATTTCTCACAGTTCTGGATGCTGGATGTCTAGGATCATGGCACCAGAATTGGTGGGGTTAGGGCCGCTTCTGAGTCGCGGACTTCTTGATGTGTCCTCACAGGATGGAAGGGGCCAGGAATCTCTCTGGAGTCTCTTTTACAAGGCACTAATTATAGTTACAAGACTCTAATCCCAGTCATGAGGACTCCATCCTCATGGCTTAAGCACTTCCCAAAGCCCCACCTCCTAATTGTATCATCTTTGGGGGTTAGGATTTCAACATATGAATTTTGGGGGGATATTTTCAGACCATAGCAGCCAGCTAATACTGAAAAAAAAAGCCCAAGAGTTTGCCTAGTAGGGTAATATGCATGGCAAGCTGTAACTATATGCTTTTTATTATTTAGCTCTTCATTTTATTTAAAACATATTTTTTATTTCTGTAGAATCTTGAGATCATCACATGGTAGATATCTGGGGAATTCCTGGAAACCTCTGATTGATTTGTCCTTCATTTATTTTTTAAAAAATAATTTATTGAGTGTCAATTTCTATAACATAAAATTAACCATTTGGAAGTAAACAATTTAGTGCCTTCACAATATGGTATAACCACCCCATCTATCTCATTTCAAAACATTTCCGTCACTCCAAAGTAAAAACCCTTTACCCATTAAGCAGTTTCTCCCCAGCCCTCTTCCCACCAGCCACTGGCAGCCACCAATCTGCATTCAGTCTCTATGGATTTATCTATTCTGGATATTTCATAGAAAATCACCTCTCCTAAATTTTTCTTGTCCTTATTTGTAGTCACCTTCTCCCCCACCTTCAGTTCAGGGCAAACACTGATCTCATTTTGTTTGTATAATTTTGCCTTTTCACTTGTATATGATATGAATGAAATCATAAAATAGGTTGCCTTATCAATCTGGCTTCTGTCACTTAGAATACTACATTTGAAATTCATCCATATTATTCTGTGTAACAGTAGTTCATTCCATTTTATCGTAGAAAGCTGTTGGATGCATTTAACAAAGTTTGTTATCCGTTCACTATTTGGAGGGAATTTGGCTTGTTTTCAGGTTTTCACGATTATGAATAAGGCCACTAAAAACATTTGCATGCAGGTTTGTGTATGAATAAGTTTTCACTGCTCTTTGGTAAACACCTAGGGTTGGGAGTTCTGGGCCTTATGTTAAGTATGTATTTAATTTTCTAAGAAACTAGAAAACTTTTCCAAAATGACTATAAAATTTTGCATTCCTATCAGCAATTCATAAATGTATTAGGTGCTTACATCTTTATCAGCACTTGGTAATATCATTTTTATTTAAGCATTTTGATAGGTATGAAGTGTTATCTTCTGTGATTTCAAATTGCATTTCCCTAATATCTGATGATGGTAAACACCTAATTATGTGGTAATATGTCATATGTACATTTTCTTTTCTGAATTGTCTTTTCAATACATAGTTTTTCATTGGGTACTTTGTTTTTTATTAATCTTTGTATGTTCTTTATATATTTTGGATGTAAGATGGATTTTTTGGTGAGAAATATGTTTTTGGCTTGTAATTTTATTTTTTAACATTATCATTAACAGAACAGATATTTAAAGTTTGAGAGAGGCTTCCCTGGTGGTGCAGTGGTTAAGAATCCACCTGCCAATGCAGGAGACACGGGTTTGAGCCCTGGTCCGGGAAGATCCCATGTGCCAGTGGCTAAACTAATCCCGTGTGCCACAACTACTGAGCCTGCGCTTTAGAGCCTGCAACCCGCAACTGCTGAGCCCACACGCCGCAGGTTCTGAAGCCCATGCACTTAGACCCCGTCCTCCACAAGAGAAGCCACTGCAATGAGAAGTCCGTGCACCACCACGAAGAGTAACCCCCGCTCGCCACAACTAGAGAAAGCCTGTGCAAAGCAGTGAAGACCTAACGCTGCCAAAAATAAATAAATAAGTAAATAAATTTAAAATTTGATAAAGCACAATTTATTTTTTTATAGATGATTATTTTTGTATTGCACTTAAGAAAGATTTTTCTCCTACATTTTCTTCTACAAGGTTTATAGTTTTAGGTTTTATATTTAGGTCTTTGGTCCATTTTGAATTAATAGCAATTATTTTTAATATTTTTATTTTTTATTTTTAAGAATTACTTTTGGACTAATGAAAAATAAGCCATCTTATTTTGAAAAAAAAATGTTCTTTCAATGTCATATGATAATTTTCTTTTTGAAACTTTTTTTTTAAACTGCTGTTTTGCTAAATCCATAGTATCTCGTCAGATCTCCAGAACTTATTCATCTTGCATAACTGAAACTTTGCACCCTTTGACCAACATCTCCCCATATCTCCCTTCCCCCCAGTCCCTGGCAACCACCGTTCTACTCTCTGCTTCTATGAGTTTGACTGTTTTAGATTCTACATGTAAGTTAGACCATACATTATTTGTGTTTCTGTGTCTGGTTTATTTCATTTAGTATAATGTCCCACAGGTCCATCCACATTGTTGCAAATGGCAGGATTTCCTTCTATTTTTAAAACTGAAAAATATTTCGTTGTATGTGTATACCACACTTATTTTGTTATCCATTCATGAATATGTAGGTTGTTTCCATATCTTGACTATTGTGAATAATGCTGCAGTGAACATAGGAGTGCAGGTATCTCTTTGAGATCCTGATTTCAGTTCCTTTAAGTGAACATCCAGAAGTGAGATTGCTGGGTCATATGTTACTTCTGGTAACAATATTGTACTTTATACTTAAAATTTGCTAACTCTGTCTCTCTCACACACACAACAAGGTAACTATGTGAGGTGATGGATATGTTAATTAGCTTGATTGTGTTATTTCATTATGTATATGTAAGTTGTAAACTTTAAATATGTACAATAAAAAATAGTATTGGTTGAAATAGGTGAAGGGAATAAAGAGATACAAACCTCCAGTTATAAAATAAATAAGCCACAGGGGTGTAATATACAGCATAAGGAGAAAATGGTCAATAACGTTGTAATAACTTTGTATGGGGACAGTTGATTACTAGACTTATCATGGTGATCATCTCATAATATATGCAAATGTCAAATCACTGTGTAGCACAACTGAAACTAACATAATGTATGCCAACTGTATTTGAATTTTTAAAAATCACAATTTTTATAGCAAAAATAGTCACATTTATAATGTATTTTTTGTCTGTCAGGTGGCAACTTATGACTTTCGAATTCAAGTTCGAATTAATTTCTTCACAGCTTCAGAACTTTACACTCAGTGTTGTTTGTCAGACTCTCCTATGATTCCAAAAACAGCACCACTTATTCGACCATGTTACGTTCAAGCTACTGGTATGTAATATGAAACATTCAATTGATGTGCATAAACCAAATATTTATGCTTAAGGAGCTAGAAGTTTAAAAAATTAGAGCATGATATTTATTTTTTAAAAATAGAAATGTTAGTAAATTTACGATACGATTCTTGTGTGTTTGTGAGTCTGTGAGATTGAATTTTAATAAATAGCCTGGATATAATCTCACATGATTTACCTTTGCTTAAAGAAATAGGATAGGGTTTCCCTGGTGGCGCAGTGGTTGGGAGTCTGCCTGCCGATGCAGGGGACACGGGTTCCTGCCCCAGTCTGGGAGGATCCCACGTGCCGCGGAGCGGCTGGGTCTGTGAGCCATGGCTGCTGAGCCTGCGCGTCCGGAGCCTGTGCTTTGCAGTGGGAGAGGCCACAACAGTGAGAGGCCCGCGTGCCGCAAAAAAAAAAAAAAAAAAAAAAAATAGGATATAGGGACTTGCCTGGTGGTCCAGTGGTTTAAGACTCTGTGCTCCCAATACAGGGGGCCCAGGTTTGATCCCTGGTCAGGGAACTAGATCCCGCATGCCTCAGCTAAGACCCCGTGCAGCCAAATAAATAAGTATTTTTTGAAAAACAAGATATAATAAAAAACAAAGGTCAGGTTAGTACTTTGTTTATTGTGTGGGCAATTTAAATGATTAAATCAAAATAGAAATTATTAAAATAAAATACATTGGTTATAAAATGATGAAAATTTTATTTAAGGAAATGTTTTTCACCCCAAAGGGATGGGCTACTAAAGAACTAAGTACAAGTAAAGAAGGATAAGTATATTAAAATTTTGAATTATTTATTGAATATTTATTCATTTTCTCCAAGAGTTCAAGTATAAAACTGATGCCCTCTGTAAACCATACTTTTGACTGGCTTTGGCTTTGCATAGTATTATATGTGCTTAAGTATTTTTCTTGAAAAGTTAAGTCTAGTTTATATTATACTATGTTTTTATGGTTCTGACATTAATTGTCTTTAATAATAAAATAGTGATCAGTTAATAATTGTACTTGGCACCTAGTAAGAGAAGCCTCATTAAAGTAGCATATATAGTATAGAGATTTATTTCACTCCCATTTAAAATACAGAATTAGAATTTTCACTACTGGTGGAGAGGCTCCATGAAGTTAAAAATTTCTCCCTTGTTTTAAGATATCTTTTTAGGGAAAGAAAATAATTATTGTGTAATTTTTCTGAATTAGGTAAGTTATTTTAATGAAAAAGAAAATAAAATTCACCGATTTTAAAAAAATGTATCATCATTAAGGAAAATTGGAAAGTGTAGAAACACAGAAAACATCATCTGGAATGTGAATATTTGGAGCATACTCTTACTAATATTTTGGTGTCTTACTCTTATTCTCTATTTTGCTTTTATTAGCTTATTTATAACATACTTGGGATCTTACTGCCTATGTTAAGTTGAAATCTGATCACTCAATAGAAACTTTTACTTGGATGCTATAGACTCTTATTAATTATATAAATTAACACTGACAAGTATTGTAGAGTATTTCATGCAGTAAGACACTCTAATAGATTACTTAAACATAATCACAAGCATAGGTTGTTTCCTTCTTTTATTTTCTTGTTAAAGTAAATACTGTAGTAGTGAACATTTTTGTGTATAATACTTTTTCCCTATTTAGATTTTTTTGAAGGTGAGAGTCTCTGAATTGCCTGCATTTCTTCTAAAGTATGTATCAGTACATATTTGCAAAAGGACTTTTGTAAAGAGGTGTGTCAGTGTCATTTCACCCCTCCTCCAGTGTCACCTCTAACCAGCATTGAATGAAAGAAATTGGATCTCTTTCTTTGTGATTAAAAGCTCTTCACTTCAATTTTCATTTCTTTGATTGCTCATGAGAATTAACATTTTGTATCTTTGCTGTTAATTATATATATGTTATATAAATTATCTGTTCATGAACCTTGCCTTTATCACTGAGGTTTTGTATTTATCCAATAGATGTCAGTGACCTCTTTATTGATAATAATTTTTTTTCATGTTTACTGTGAATGTTTCCTAAGATTTGTTGTTTGCCTTTAGTTTTATTCATTTTTCAATAGATCTTTTAAATAATTTTATGGTGAAATCTATCATTTCCTCTGTGATTTCCAACGTTGCTTTAAAGATTAGATCATCTTCCCCATCTACAGGATTGGTAAATATGTAATTCTGGTGTTTTCCCCTATTTTTAATGGTTTAAAATTTATTCAATAATTTTTATACTTACTTAATTTATAAAAATATTATTGTATTTACACCAACAGTTGAAACGTCAAAGCAGACTTAATTATATCATATAACTTATCAACACCAAAGTTTGCTAATGACTCAAATGATACAAGTAAAATGAGACAAAGATGTAATATTTCTTCCTGTAGAACTTGGCATCTTCCAACTTGTCCTTTGATCCCACCGTAGGATGCCTTTGGTTTTGAATTAACAGATGACTTTTGAATGATATTTGTAGAAACCTTGTTCTCAAAGGATGCCGTTTTTGTTTGGAGCTCTGCATTGTTTTCTAATCTTCATAGTTATACAGATAATGCCTATGTGATAAATACCCATTCTCCTACGAGCAATGCCCCATAAATCCCAGATGTTTTTAATTGGCTATTTGGACAGATAATGCATGTCAAGTTTCTTCTTTGAATAAGGCCACTGGTCAATACCATTTTTATGTTTACAAGGAGGTATGATCAAATCCGTTACTCTCTCAGCCATCACTTCGGTAGGATGATGATACCTAAGTAGGAGCTCACAAGCCTGCTGTTATCTCTTTACTCCCAAATTACATGCGTTCATTTTTGAATTAAAATAGTGCTAATCCAGAATTGCAATCCATTATCTGTCTCCTCCTTCAGGCTTATCCTGCACCCTAGAGGCAGTGATTTTCCTCGTTAATTATCTAATGAAAACACTTATTTGATGATAGGCAACTTGACTCACTGGAAACTCTAACTCCTCTTATCCATTTTCCTAATATAATTATACCTTTAATTTCAATTAAACTTTTTATCAGATTTAATTATTATGATGATGGATTGTACATTGTTTAGCCAAGTAATGTATCATGCACAGTTATTTTATTTCCTTTATTTCAACTTTTTTTTTTTCTGGAGTTAATAATTGCTTAATTGTCCTTAGGTATTTGACTAAATCCTCCCATGCTATAAAGCTCTATAATATGCTTGTCAGGACAGTATTCCACATAGTCTAGTCTGTCAGATAATATGTCTTCTTATTCTCTTCAAGCAGCCCTCCTGGAGCACATCAACTTCCTGTTCCAACATGGGCTAGATGCTTTCTTCCCCTGTGGCAGAGTTGGAGACTTCCCTTCATTCTACTTGTGGGGATTCCTTTTGACTCTTTTTTACCTTGAATATCCCGTTTCTTCAATTTCCCACCTTCCTATTTCTTGGTTTACTTCATTGTACTGATAGATTACATCTTCCAGGAGCTTCCAAAGAAAGGGTGCAAGGGAGTTACCTTTTTAGAAAATCCATGTCTGAAAGTATCTTTGTTTTTCCTCCCACACTTGAATGATAGTTGAGTGTGGAATTCTAGATTCAAAATAATTTTCCCTCAAAAATTTGAAGGTGCTATCATTATCTTCTAACTCCCATTGTTGCATTTAGAAGTCTGATGCCATTCTTCTTTCCCATCCATCATATATTACCCTCTGTTTTCCCTTTAGAAGGTTTTAGAAACTTTTTTATCCCTGTACTCCATTATTTCCCATTGATGACTTTGGTGTGAAGCTTTTATCTTTACCACTGTCCTAAGTTCTTGTGGAGCTTTTCACTCTAGAAGCTTATGTCCTTCAGTTCTATAAAGTTTTCCTAAATTGTTTCCTTGAAAAACTCCTTCCCATTATTTTCTTATTTCTTTCTCTGACTCATATTGGTTAGATTTTGTACCTCTTTGATTATATTATATATTTTAATTATCTTACATATTCTCCCTTATTATCCTTTTTCTCATCTTTTCATTTTATTTCCCAGGATATCTTTTTCTGACTTGACTATTTTATGTCTTAAAAAGTTATCTTGGTGATTTCAAACTGACAAGATTTTTGAACTTTTTTCTATTTCTTTACTTATAGACTTTTTTTTTTAAATGAAAGCAACACTTTTTATCTGTATGTTATAAATTATTTGAACTTCTGTTGACTACATTGTCTCAATTTTTGCTGAATCATTTTTCCTTTATTTCTGTCTCCCTCATGTTGAGGAGTTCCTTAAATGTCTGTTGATTCTTTCCTATTATGTTTCTTAGTGAGTCTCACAATGCTGACTTCAGCATCAACTGTTACATCATTTCCTGACAATCTGGATGCCAATGAATGTTTTAATTTGGGGGGGAACCCAAATATTAGTATGTGAGACTTTAATCTTGAGAAACAGTTTCTTCAGAAACTGTTTCTCTAATAACGTGTTGGGTAGAATGTAGCTTTATATAAATGAAATTGAGATATCTAAATGGTGTCATAATATGGCAAAACAGTGCTTTGTTTTTAAAGATATAACCAATCTATTATTTCAGTGATTATCCCCAGTTGCCAGTTTGCAAATAGGCAGAACATCTTAGATGTGCTATTTCTTGTAGTGTGACATAATATTGTCTTTTCCTAGGATTTCTCATGACAAGAGTTGGCGGTGACACAATGATGAACACTATCTACACATTTCTCCTATTCCACACGTCCTAACTTCCTGCCAAAGCATCTATTAATTCCACTGGTATAACAAAAGCACTTGTAAGATACATGAGTTTTTGCATCAGAAATTGGTTTCTTTCCAGGGACTTACATTCCCATAAACTTGTAAGATTCTTGAGTTTTCATTAAGGATTACAAACGTCTCCAAGGTAAGTTTCAAAAAGTATAGATTTTCAATTCTGGTTTCTGGTTCACTGTGTAAGAGGCTTGAAAGTTACTGCTCCATCCTTACAACAAGTAAAAAAGCTAAACAAACTGAAAA